CCTGCCAATGTTGAGGAGTAGCAGCTCTATTTCGTTTCAAAGAACTGAGCTTCTTACTTTATCTCGCTCTATCCGTCAAAGAGCCCAGCACAAAGCTTATTTCTGCTTTTGGTGTCTGTAGTCTCATTCTTTCAGCCACTGCTGAGATGCAGAGCTCTCTCTTTCCTACTGCAGACCTGTTTAATCTCCTGTCACACCCTACCTCACTTGCAAAAAGACCCTGGAATATCTAAACTTCCCAACCAGAAGTGGGCAGTCCACCCTTTTCCAGCTCAGAACTGTGGCCTTAGATTTGAAGGTTCTAATTCTCATCCCAGTTCCCTCCAGCTTGGCAGCAAACCTCCCTCAGAGCGCGCTGGAGGTTGTAACTCGATGAAACTAAGAGAACCACAATGTCTGCAAAAAGCAGAGACGAGACTTCTGAACCTGAAGCCTGTGAGCTGTGTCTAGAAATGCTGTGCATAAAAATTAGGAACACAGTCAGTGACAAAGTGCACATTTTCTTTGAACCATATGGTTGTCAGGCACAGACACAGATGCCTGCTTATTAATGCTAAAATGAGTTTTTTCCCTGTTGTTGAAAGTTATTAATGGGTAATAATTTTCTTTCATCATATGATTAGAACTATGTTGCCATTCTGGAAAACCAGAGTGGATGTTTTCACTTTGCTGCTTTGTTCTTGTCTTCAGTATCACTTACAGGCTGGGTATGCGTGTGCCGATAACTCAGTGTTGATACCATGTCTTCTTTTCAGTCACAAAGACGTTTAAATTAAAGTTGTAGCTCCTTATCTGGATGATCTGTAATCTGTGTATTGTTTTTTTATTAATTAACCTTGTAGCAGTACCTGACCGTAAATCAGGCCACCTACGATTAGCTATCTATTAGGAGTGGACTTTGTATTAAAACAGATTCACACTTAAAAAAACAGAGCAGGAAAAAGTTTCTCAGGTGTGCAAAATGTTCCACCCCATGAGTCTGACAGCATTTGTATGTGCTTTGTTGAACTGTCAGAAAAGCATGTCAGTAACTGATAGAAAGAAATGATAAAGATAGAGGCATGTGAATCAGATCATTTAGACAATTCCTGAGTGACACTTGCACAGAGACAATTGACAAAATTATCAAAGGAGACCGGCAAGAAATGCTGCTGTGGTTAAGTTAAATGACGCTGAAAAAACCCACTAGCTTACTGACTCCTGGAGACAAAACACTTGGCCAGGTGATTGTGGCTCTGATAGCTCGCGTGTGTCTCACCCTATGCAGGGAGATAAAACCTGGAGCGTTTATATGCACACTGGTGTGAGTTTGGCATAGCTCCTGAGTACGAGCACTGAAGTATTGATAAGAGTTTGGATGAACAATTCTGATTGATTTTATCATAGCTGACCTTTTCTAATTCCAATCAGACCCCAATAATGACGAGTCTGTTTCAACACCAGTTGACAGTTAAAGTCAGAGAAAACAGAGAAAACCCCCAACTGTCCTCCTTTGAGTAAGCACTTGGTGACAGAGGGAAGGGAAAAATCCCTTTTAACAGGAAGAAAACTGGCAAAACCAGGCTGTGGAGAGCCAGAGATTAATAATAACTAATGATTAAATGCAGAGAGGTTTATAAACACATTAAAAAAAGGGGAGATCCCCTCAACCTGCAGCTTTTGAGGTCCTTAAAACCCATCGAAGTAAAGCTCAAGGTTTACAATTTAGTCACTTTTTTTTTTTAATTGATTGATTGTGTTGGTGTTAGGACTGCCACGATTAGTCGACTAGTCACGATTACGTCGACTATGCTTGAAGCTTTGTAAGATCCCAAAAGAAGCAGGAATAAGTAGTAGGATTTAAGAGTGTAATAACGGACTGAAACAGAAGATGGCAGCACTGCATGTACAAGGATGCCAGCTGCCGTTAAACCCCGAAGAAGAAGCTGTGTCCCAGAATTCATAGCGCAGCCCAGCTCAGTTTCTAACAATGGCGGCAGCTAGTTAGTTTTAATATTACTCTTATTATTCTTTCTGGGTCACAAAATAAACGTTTAACATATTTTCAGGCAAGAATGTAACTGTGTAAACCTCAAATATCTGCTCAGTTTATCAAGACACCACATATTTTCAAAAGCGCTCCAACGTTTTCGGAGACATCTGTTACCCACTAGCTCGATAGCTAGCCGGGGGCAAGGATCACTAGAGCCCGTGAGAACACCGGACTCCCGACTTCGTTTTCAAACCCACTGCCGTCTTTCGCTACTCAGGTTAAACATGATATATGAGTCACTTAGATAACTTAAAAATGTTATTGTTTGGCTTTTTTTAAGTATTTTATTTGTTGCTGAGTAAATCGGTTTGGCTGAGATTAAAGTTATAGTTTTTATACAGCTGAACAAATGTCAAGCAGACAACTGATTATCAGAAGTCTGAGATGCTCCAGAATATACTCCGGTGTCCCGTTATATTTTAGATAGCAAGGAGTTTATTAAACTTCACCAAAACAACCTGCAAATTTCTTAAAAATTTAATAAACTACCATCTTGTCTTTATTTTTATTTAGCACATACCTTAAACACTTAAAGCTTTAAGCTAATGATAGTTATATAAGAGCAGATGCATGCTTGTGCAGTAAGCTGTACGTCCAATGGATGATGATCTGATTAGTCGACTAATCACAAAAATAATCGGTGACTAGTCGACTATCAAAATAATGGTTTGTGGCAGCCCTAGTTGGTGTCCAGAGGGACAACTACATTAAAAGTGTGTCATTGTCCAAAAAGTTATAGACCTGAGATTATTACTGAGATTTGGATGTTTGAGTGAAATGTTTGTAGCTGAAGGACTCTGTGCTTTTAAAGCTGACTTAGGTAATCTCAGGATTAATGCCTCTGAAATTGAAATTATTGTAAGCTTACCACGTGCTCCTCGCTGGGTGCACAAGTCTCTCTGTAGGATAATACGCTTTCTTTCTGTTTTTAATCTGAGATTTCTTGGTCGTTTTAAGTTTGGACCACTGAGTCTGGAAGACAAATTGATTGATTAGATGATTATTCAGTTACTGAATTTCATCTCGGTATGCAGGGAACAAACAGATATGCATCTTGTCTAAGATTATGTGTTATTAGCTTGGTGAAGAACTCTTGGTATGCTCTGAGGTTCAGATCTGTGCAGCGGGAACAGCTTTAGCTTTTTGCTGGTTTTTCCTCTCCCACAGGGGCAAACTGGGACCAGCTATCAGAATCCACTATAACCACTAACTGGGTCAAGCAGCAGCAGTAGTATCTACTCATCCTGTGTATTATGTATGTTGCCAATCTGGATTAGTCATCTGCTTTATTCCCAAATACCCTCAGCCTCACGCATACCCTCCCTACTTAAATAAAAACAGCTTTTAATAACATATGAGAAGCAGGTTAACGTGAAATTAAAAATATACAGTGTCAGTGAACATGCAGTCTCTGTTTCCAGGGTTTAGTATTCTCCTCGGCTGTTTCTGCGCAGCCAAAAATCGACTTTTTCTTTCCTGCTGTGTGCTGTTGTTGAAACATCAGGCGCAGTGGTGCCCAGTGGAAACGGCCTTATTGCCCATAGCTGGCAGTCTGAGTGGTCTGTGTGTCAGGAGCTAATCTCTTAATCCTCTACTATGAGTATAATAATTGAGTTGGCTGGTGTCAGGAGGGCGGACATGTAGTAATTCATAGCCTGATGTTCCGATGTCAGACGACTATGGAGTGAGCACAGAGTTGATGTCAGCTCGTATTTGTCTTTAATTGCAGTTGTCTAGTTCAGTCACACTAATTGTGTAATGTCTTTATGTAAGAGCGCTGTGTCTGTGTAGTCGTCTCCTGTTTCAAAGTCTCAGGAGGTGATTTAGTGTTTAATAGAGCTGTTTGTCAGGGGAAGTGAGGTACTTCCTCTTTATTGTAAGCTGATAGAGGTCAAAGAACACACAGATCTGTGTGATGCTGGAGCTTTTAGGCCGGCGTTTTGTGTTAAGTAACATCAGTGTTTCCCACAGATTTGGGCTCAGGGACGTGAGGTTGTGGCTAAAGACAAGTACTCCCTATTTTGAGAAGATTTTATGTATATTTCTGCTACAGGAATTAAGAGGGTAAGTGTAGTAGCAGCCAGGTGCTGTTATTTAAATGCACTGTGTTAATGCACGCAGAAGCAACTGTTGCTGCACGTCAGACTAGGAACGGTTGTAAAGCTGTTTCTCGAGTTAACATTCAGCAAATTCATCCCAAGGTCAGACCATGCAATGCTCCGAGAAACCCAAGAGCTGTACATGCCTCAGCATGTTAATGTTAACGTCAATAATGACAGTACAATTAGAATAAGACTGAGCCAGTCCCTGTTTGGAACAACCGTTCCAAACAAGCCAGGTGAAGATTTCTTCTCTCTAAAAAGAACATGGCAGCACAGCTTAGGTTTGCAAAGCTGCATCTGGGAAAACCAAAAGACTTCTTTAAAAATCTCCTTTGGACAGATGAGACCGGAGTGGAGACGTCTGGCTGCGATGCACAAAACCAAACTTAGCATATCAGCGCAAACATCTCATACTTACTATCAGTCACTGAGTCGATCATGAACTCGTTCGTATACCAAAGTATTCTAGATTCAAATGTGAGGCCATCTGTTTGACAGCTAAAGCTAAATCGGATCACCTGACAGGACAATGATCCCAAGCACAGAAGCAAATCTGCAACTGAATGGCTGAAAAGAAGAGAAACAAGGTGCTGCAATGGTCCCGTCAAAGTCCAGACCTCCTCCTGACTGATATGCAGAGAGCTGTGCATCGACGAATGCCTGCAAACCTGCACTTGTATTTAATAATTATAGAACCTGCTGACGACCAAAATGATTTTCCTATTATGCTCTGACTAGAATTACAAGACTACGTATTTTCTTTTTACAGTGACGACAGCCAAATTTCCATACATTTGTTTCCCTGAAATTAAGTATTAAATATTAATTGCAACAACTACATAATTTGATCCAGTAAATTCTCAATCTAGTGTTTTGTGTCTGAGGGGAGCTTTTTTTTCCTGTTACTGTCTCTATGCTGTAATTAGTGCATGTAACAGTATTATCAGTATTTTGAGGCAGTGAGGATGAGTAATAATAAGCATCACTGTGTGTGTGCTTCTCTGCAGGACCAAGTCTTTTATATTCTCTGGCCTGTACGCTGCGATCGTATTTGGAGGGCAGCACTTCATGAGGGAAAGGCAAAGACTGAACCTGCGTCGCCCGCTGGTGTTGTGGTCACTCAGCCTGGCCATTTTCAGGTGAGTGACTCTCAAGGTCGATGCAGCTGAGACGGCTGACGTGACCTTTACGCTCAGTCAACCAAACATTTAGAATCGAGTCTTTCTGGGTAAACAGGAACATGAACTGAAAGAGGGATAGTCAAAGAAGGAATGTTTGTTTGAGAAGCCACAACCAGTCTGATAACAGCTGTCACCTCAAGGTTCAACGCAAGATTTAAAGCAGTACTTCAAGAACACTACAGACATTTCACTCACTAAGAGTCCTGATGTCCATCTGCACATGGTATCTGTGGGGTGGAAACTTCTCGGGGCTGACCTATAAAACTGGTTTACATTTTTACCTGTTCTCCTGTTTGAGATCATCTTCTCGGAGATTTCCAGGCAGATTCCAGAGCAGCTGCATTTTCAAAATAGGACATTCCACTCGAGTTGCAGTTTCACCACAAACCTCCAATCTGAGCAGAGAGCAACCTCAGCTTCTCATTCAAAATGACCTGAATTTCATGCAAAGGATCCTTGCTGTTGATAAGAGCCAGATTTTTGGTATTTTTCACCTATAGGTAGTGGGAGTTTATGTCCCTGCTGCTTTATCTTCTTGAATCAAGTTGAAAGATCTCCAATTTGACACACTGAAGGAGACCGGGGCTTCTACAAAGCAATCTTTAAAAAAAGCATCTGCAGTAGAATACCTGAGAAGATTATCTAGAGCGGGACATCAGCCAAACTCCAAACAGGTTTCTGTTTATCTACTCCTTCAGTTACCAACTATCAATCTAATTTACCGATTTGTTTATGAAGATCTAGACTGTGGTATTCCCTCAGAGAAGCGTGCTGTTTTTATAAAATGTAAAATCCTGCTGCTGTCACTTAAAGGCCTTACGCTGCTCCTTTCAGCCTTAGCTGTCCGCACACAGGACGCGGCGGTGTTAGTGTAGGTGGTTTTTGCTTTTTACTACATCCACCCTGTTAACTCTGTCCTTTAAAGGATACGTTTGTTTTTTATTACTGGTATTTTTTTGCAACCGTGTGCCAGAATGATGACACAACATCATGCACGCTTTGTTGCTTTGCTGTCATTTGGGCTTACAGTGACTGTCTTGTGGATGCATTTGATTTGTGTCAGATCGAAGGCCGATAGGACGATCAGTCATCAGAGAAAATGACACAGGCTGGCTCCCTGTTGACTGCGATCTGGTTTGCAATTGTTGGAACATCAGATAAAAGCACAGGTAGTCTCTGAGGTGTGTTTGAGATGGTCTGACTGAGATTACCTATGAAATCTCCACGTCAGTGTTGCACCATTGTGCAAGTTGCTCTTTGTCATCAGTGTAATCTCAATAAACCTTTTGACATCAAGCCTTTATGGCTGCACTGTAGCAGTGATCTCTGCAGCTCAGTTATGGTTTCTTTTTTTATTATTTTTTTTTT